CATGTCGAGAAATCGCTTTTGCTTTGGATAACTGAAAAACAGTGCTGGAAACAGCGTATCGGAAGCAATTATTCGCGAGAAAGCTAAAAAGATATACGCTGATCTTACGAAAAATCAAGCAGGAACTAGCCAGGAAAGCGAGGTGTTTAAAGCCATCCATTTTTTACACGAGAACGGATTAATCATTTTTACATTACTTCTTATGGGAAAGGTTGGCTTGGTATACGTCCAATTCAGTATAAGTCCAAACATCGGGAACGGATTAAGGTCGTATACCGAGGTTTCACTGTATATATATTCTCGGGTATAATTCTTAACAATTTTTTTAATTGTCCTATTGGTTTAACTCAACTTTTTGTATAGTCTGCAACTGAAGAGAGGTCTAGACCCAAAAGGCATCTTGCAGAATGACTATCTGAAAGATTTAATTTATTCTGCTAAATGAAGTGTCTTCCTTGAGTCGTCAATGTACAGTACTATATGGTTTAAAGGACAGGAAGCTTCGAGTAAATCCGAATTGCATTTTGAACCTTGCTTATGATGAAATCATCAGAAGACTTTCTTAAATTTTTTGACAATGGTATAAAAATTAGAAGAAATTTTTTTCCTCTAAGTACTAATATAAGTACTTGAGTAACTTTATAACGGTTGGATCAAATGGAAATTTTAGTGTATATGATAGACGGATGGAAGCGTAGACTTCAGTAGAGGATGGTAAAAAAGAGCATTTACTCCCTGGTTTGTTTGTTTATTAAGTTACGGCAACGCAACACTTGAGCGATCTGCCTAGAGGATGCCTTCCGGAAGGTCTTTTTGAGGGTAACTTGGCCATATATAAGCGTTACAGACGTGGAGAAATCCCGGAAAACTCCACGTAGCCAGTCTGTCCTGGCGAGGCGCAAACCCGCGACCGAACTCCCGGTCTTCAGGGAACGGAACCGCTTGGCCACTGGTGAGCCCTTACTTTCTGGGATCGATAAAAAAAAATTCTACATATTATAATTGTATAAGTGATTGAAATATGTAACTTTATACCCTCGACTACGGGACACTTTGATGCAGTACTGTGTTCTATAATCTATAAAACTCCCCAAAACTTAAATTATTAAATAAAAATTTATTGATGTAATTATTTGTTTCCAAACTTTCCACCTGGAAAGTTTTTGCGGATGTCCATGGATGAGAGCATCCCATCCAAATTGCCGTAATTTGTATCGGACAGACAAAGAAACGTACGATTGGCATTGTCTCGGTGAAAAACAGATTGGTCTGACTTGTAATACGATCGAGAGCAGTGTACGAGGGAGGAGAATACAACACTATTCATTAAAAATTCCTCCGCCATCTGACGAATGTTTAAATTAGACATGGAAACAATATATTACAATAATAAATCAAATCAATGGATATCGATGCAAGGCTGTATATTAACGTCGCCATAGTACTCGTCGGTGTCACTTTCATAAAGTTGTTTATTTGATTTAATATACACTAAATTATTAAAATAATCAGAATATTTTCATCAAATATTTTAGGTTAGGTTTATAATAAAGGCAAATTATTATTATTATTTTGTTTTGTTGTTAATTTTGGAAAGTGTTCAGTGAAAAACCTTTTTTTTTTGACTTATTAAAAATTAATTTAAAATGTTTCGTTTTTCGCGAAATTTAATATTTTTCACATGCATAATTATCTCTTGTTACTTACCAGTGGTGGAGTGAATACAATCACTAAACACTGATAGTGGTTGGTCGTGGGTTCGCACCTCTAGCCACGTGAAGTTTTCCGGGTTTTCTTCACGTTTAAAATACCTAAATAGGGTCAGTTTCCCATAGAAAGTCCTCCCGAGGTCAGATGGTCCATGTGTTGCGTTGACGTAACTTAATAAAAATTATAAAAAATTAATTCTTCATTTAAATATAGATTAAATTGGTAAAAGTTTAACTTATTATACGGAAAATATTGTTTGGTTTCACAAGCATTCTCGCTAATACAAATGAAAAATTATTCTATTCGCCCGTAAACGTTTACGTCAATTTGATGTCATCTCATTATTTTTACATGGAGAAAATTTAAAAATGACATCAAATTTACGTAATGGTACGATTATCAACCGCATCGTTTGATTGAAAATTTGATGATCCGATGAAATTTTACTTGCAATTAATTTCCTACGAGAATAAAATACATTTAATTCAAATATATGTATATATATATATATATAAGATAATTAATTAATTAATTAATTTTGTCTTATTGGTATTTTGATTTATATATGGGGGGATGCAAAAGTTGGAGAGTGGGAGCTTCTTTCAAGCCTAACTATGCCACTAAAGCTTTAGATTAAGGTAAAATCTATGTATGGGCCAGGGTTAGATTTATGGGGAAGAACAGGGCGCAGCTGTACCACATCTCTAAAGATTTCTGATGGCCCCTGTTAGTACTCATAAATTGATATAATAAACACAAAAATTACGTATAAATTTATTATATAAAGTTTTATATACGGTTGTCATTGGGAGAAATACAGTTATTTAGTGTTCGTTATTATTATTTTGTATTTCTTATTTGTGATTTTAATTTATGCATACAAATAAATGATTTTTTCTTCTATGCTTTTTCTATAATAACAACTGTAAACCTATTTTTCATCCCCCCTGTATATAATATATTTAACAAATTAAGAATGTATAACATTAACAATTATTTAATACTTCAATATCTATATTAAAAATTACTTATATGAAATACTACTTGTATATATTTTATAGATGTTTGTGTTGTTTCTATACCTCAAATTTATCGAAGTTTGTGTTTTAGTAATAATAAATTGTTCTATTATATAATTTATTTATATATTTCAACTTTCAGTTCTATGGACAAACTACTATAACGTAAGACTTTTTATAATCTAAGAAATTCCTGCTTAAATTAGGACAAAAGAGGTCAAAGAAGGGAAGAGGAAAAAAAACGGTTTTTATCCATTAGTCCTCTCGATTTTTTGTTCTATACCATCCAATTTTCTCTGAATTACAGCTTTAAAAAATCCTTACGATTTAAAATACTTTTAAATCACATTGTTTGACTCTTTACAAATCGTTTTTTTAATCTAAAATGTTTAAAAAATTTCCATTTAAATTATAAATGTGTACAACTTCCTTTGAAAACACTAATGATTATTTTGTGGATTTAGCTCTTCATGGTCCCTTTATTCTTCTCGTATTCTTTCATTCAATTCCCTCCCAAAATATTTGTCTCCAATTCCCAAATTTGTCTTACTCGTATTTTCTTACACTTTACTTAAAATCTCAGCATTATTTTTATCTATAAAACAATCATATTGCACACAATCATGAAAACTGGCATTGAGATATATTCCTTGGCTAACTTCCACGTTCCTCATAGTTTCACTGACATAATATTGTTTATGCATGTGTAGGGTTTAGATATACAACTCTTGCTACATTCATACGTCATCCTTACTGTTACTTAAATGCTTTTGTAACTTATCTAATACTGGAACAACTTGCACGTTAAAACTCTTAAATATTTTATCATACATATCATTTACGTACGGAAAATATATATATTTATTTATTCTCTTCACTTTATTTCCATTGTCGTCCGTCTGTCCGTCCGTCTTCCGTTAATACCGAGAATGGAGTTAGATAGATGACCGGCACGACTCGATTGTTATCGGGAGAAATATGTTGTACGGGGGAAACCAGTAAATCAACACCAGATATAGAAAGATTAGGAGCCGGAGACCCCCTATTAACTATATACGAAGTCACGTGAGTTTCCAGTCCAGACCGGAAGTTCGTCTATTAGTTAATAGTACCCCCGTAAGGTCTCGATTTTTATGTATCTACCTCCGTTCTCAACATTAACAGACAGACATACAGTGTTTATTTTTGATACTCAAGCTTGATTTACATAGGCTACAAGTTAAATAATTGCAGCTTAATTAAATAAAGTACGATATTTTAAAATGTATTATTATTTTGTAAGATAGGAAGACCACTTAGACCCTATACTGTACCGGTACATTACAGGTTACGGTGAGGGTTGCCAGACATCTTTTAGTAGTAACGTACCGGGTTTAGTAGTGGTAATGGAGGAATTTTCATATAAAATATATAGGCTCATTCTTATCATACCATAGAAAAACTATAATTTACCATAGTTTACCATTAAATATTTAAAATTCTGGTAGAGCGAATATTGAAGAGTTGGAGATTTTGGCACTAAATGTTATGATTAAGGCAAAGTCTATGAACCCCTCTAAAGATTTCTGGATCCGCTATTGATGGCTACTGTTGATACTCATTAAATTTACATAATAAACACATAAAAATTTGTCTAGAAATGTATAAATTTATTATAAAAACTTTGATTGAATATATGCATAAATAGTAAAACCTGTCTAAAACGGAAACCCGTCTAAACGGGAAGAATTCTTGTTAAAGAATTGATTTTCTGCGTTAAAAGGAACCTGTTAAAACCGGAAAAAATATTCGGTACCGCGCTAACCGGCTTAAACAGGTTTTATTGTATTTAATGACGTATTTAACGAGCCGCAGCAAGAAATAAAAGGGAAATGAATGTAATTATCTTAATATAAAATGTAATAAACGTTTGCCAACGTTAGGAAAATTTATGTACGAAGGTAAATCGATTGTATTCCTTGCATCGAAGTTCAAGTAACCCCAGGTAACGATATAAAGTTGATCTCCCCAGGTATCAACCGCTGTTACCATAGCAACCGCGATTCGAATTATGACGTTGATACAATATAGGATTATTTATATATAAATAAATAAATAAATAAAAATAAAAGAGGAACAAAAACAAACACATAAAACATTTCCCTGTACTTATATGACTCATTAAATAATACAAAATTAATCCGGTAGATGTCAGGATTTTGTAATACGTAATTTTTTTTTTTCCATTAATTTGCTTCGTTAATAAATACGATTCAATTTATAGTTTGAATTAAAGGCCACACCTCTCGTACATTAATTATATTCCGCGAGGAATCACGTGGATCGATTTTTGGAGCGGTGACGTAGGCGGTCATGTGACCGTACTGGTGAAAGCTAGTGTGTGCCGAGAGCGTAGAATGGATCATTGTTATCGTTGTCTGTATCGAAGAAATGTCTTAATAGATTTTATAATGTTACGGGTAAGGCTGTTTATATAATTATTTAAATATATTTTATTAGGAAATTATAAAAAAAAAAGAGTCGACGTTTCTGATTCGTTATCTCCGTGTGACGTCATGTAGCTTATGAAATTAATGATTCGTTGTTTAAATAGTTGACACTTTTTCAAATTTCGTTTGACATTTTTTAATTATTTTAATATTTTTATGGGCTTTTAATTTAGTTTATTTAATTTTTGAATATGCCAAAGTGTATTTTACATTTTTAAATATTTAATTTAAATTTAATTAAATTCCAAAAAATTTGATATTGATTTTTCGGATAATTTGGCTAAACGAAAATAAATTCTATTTATTTACTTTTCTATTTAAATAAAAAAATTTAATTAATTCCTGAAAGATTCTTAATTATAATTTTTTTAAAATTACATTCGGTTAATTATAATAATTAAATTTTCATTTAATAGATTTATTTAAATGAATGAAATCACTTTTTGATATCATTTAATTATGTAATAATCAATATATACGTAATTTATTTGTCCATTAAAGACGTATTAATCCCAACTGAAGAGTTAAATCGTCCTTTAATCTTTGACATTTTGTTAGAATGGTAAACACTTTTAAAGATTAAATTTAATAAGCCATAATGTAAAATATCTTAATTATTGTCTACTGACTTTATAGACAAAATGACTGGGGAGGAGCTTCAATTAAAAACTGTATCGAGCGAGACCTCGCCCAATCTTGGTTCACCCGATGATATCATGTGGACTTTAATATCCACCAGCGAGCTAAAGACGAACCAGATGTCAACATGGATACCAGCCAAACGTATAATGACATTCATGGGCATGGTATCTGCCCTGTGTACCATTATTGTAATAGCAATCGTCATAGTGGCGGCACTCTTCTTGCAGCAATCCTCCAAGCCGACATCTAGCATTGTTTACATCATACCAATACCCGAAAAACTTCATAACAAACCTCAAACTGTTATCATAAGAAGGAAAAACGTTCAAAGTTTGAAGAAACAAATAGCCGAAATGGCCATAGCCTTAAAGACTTATTATGATAAACAGAACACTTCAGAAGTGAGATCGTGTAATTTCGCAATGGCTCCAACTCACGAAGGTTTGTGCCGCTTTCCACTGGAGTTAATTAACAAGAATTGCACTATTAATAATTTATTCGGATACGATACTGGAAATCCTTGTGTTGCCTTAATTTTTCACGTGCAACCCAAATGGCAACCGATATCTTACGATCTAGAAGTGCCAGACACAAGTCTAGACGGTGATTACGATCCCATGTTGGTGTATCTTACATGTAATACTGATTATAATTATGGGATGAAGATGGATTATTCACCATTTCATGGTTTTCCACGTCACTTTTTCCCACCTTCTGTTCGCGATTCTTACTTACCACCGTTAGTTATGGTGCAGTTTATTGGGGTCCCCATAAATGTCGAAATGGATATTAAATGTCGTTTGTGGGCCAAAAATATCAATCGCGTAAGTCATCAATATCCTGTATTTGTCGAAACGGCTTTTAACTTATTAATAAAATAATAATAATTATTTTTTTTGTGATGATTTTAAATAAAAGTTTAAAATTTACCAATTTGCATATATAAATATTTGCACGGTTGTAACGAATGAGAAAAAATGTTTCAGAACTCTTAAATAAATAATTAAATTAATAGTAAATTTATAATACTTTTTATTATAAAATTCTTCTAAATTTAGCCTAAATTGTTACCTTTATTAAAGGCTTTTACAGAAATAACTATGATCAATGAGCAATTATCATAAGTGTAAATCCAGGATGCCTCTTAAATCTGAATCCATAAAATAATAATCCTGTATTTTAGTTTAGGTTTTAGTTTTAAAGTTAATTAAACATCTTTTAACTTTTTAAAAATGAAATCCGAGAGTTATAGACCAAGAACTGAAGTAAGAACTGAGATGAAATAAGGCAACTCAATACTTGGAGGAACTGCCAAAGAGGATGCCTCTAAGAAGGATTTTATAGTAAATTAACTCATTTGCACGTGTAAGAAATTCGGAAACATCTAGGCGTGGGTTCGCACCCGATTAACATGCACGAACCAGCTAGTAACAAGGTTTTTACCACTCGGCTTCGGGACGTGTATATTCAAATAGGTGTTTCCCTTTTAAACATTCATAGAAGAGTAATACGAAGGAATTATGTGTTTAATGGCTATGGGTTTACAAATTTAATAAAGTGAAAGTAAAATATTTATAATTTATTTCTTTATATATCCAGACATCCTACATAAAACATGCATTAAATAAAGATAACAAGATCTAAATTTAGATCAAGATTTCTGGATATTTATCTTGATCTTCGTCTACATTAAGAACTTTGTTTCTTGGATTAATATATAATTTACATGCATTATTTATAAGTTATAATTCCTTGTTCGTCTTCTATATTTGCATTATATTAATTTTTAATTCAAATATTTTTATTAAAAATGGAAAAAACAATATTAAGTTAGCGATTATAAATTTTATATTTCTGAGTAATCTATATTTAATAACTGGACGTTAGCCAAATTAAAATGTAATTATATTTTATTCTCTCTTGTTACATTTGCTTAAATTTTAAAACACATTTAATTAAACTACAAGTTAATGTGCAATTCAGTTTAAGAAACATAATTTTAGCCTGACTTTTATGAGCATAGAAAGCGCAGCTTTGTGAATATAAACGAATTTATGTTTATTATTTTCTCTACTTACCCTTCACAGATTAAATTTTCTAGATTAAAATTACAGGATTTATTTTCTATCTTTATAATATAATAGCTGCGTGTGTCTAGAGTTTCTCGGGTTTTTAAGGAAGTAGACGGTGGCACGTCATGCTACGGGCAAAAAAAAAACATGGCAACTGCCTGGGGCCTCCACCAATAAGGATCCAAAACTAATCTTTTATAAGAAAATATTTTCCCAAAATAAAATGTCTCGGGTCAACACTGTACTGTACGTGGGGCCTTCTAATTTAAATTTGCCTGGGCCCCCACGAAGTTATAATGCGCCACTGGAAGGGGAGGATTGGTGAGGTTGGATTGAGAGAGGATAGTAAAAAACAGTAACTAAAATTTACGTTTATTGACCCGAGTGTTTACAATAATAAAACTGCTCGGGCTTCAGTGAAGAGGGAGTGACACCACAGTATTTTTATAGGGTTTCATACGTTAAACGTATAGAACCCTTTATCATACATACATACAAATTTTGACTTTTATATAGGCCTACATAGATAAATTATTAAATAGTGTAATTTAAAGCAATTTTTCATATGAATCCCTTAGGGATAAGTATTGTAAAGATTCGATAGAGATCCTCACTCCTCACTATAAATTAATATTAGACTATTAAAGCGGAAACATTATTTTAAACTTTTATATAATTTAATTGTTAATTTGCTTTAAAAGTTACGTGATATTGTCTGGAAAATGTTATGGATGAAATTTAAATCATATGGACAAATTAATTTATATGATATTGCATTTAGACGAATTAATTGTATACTTAATACACTAACAACTCAATATTTTGATGATTTGATATTTTATTTTATTTTTTTTTTAATTTGCTTCTATTAATTCAGAAATTAATATTATTTTCCTTTTCATATTGGTTTAACCGACGTGTTGACAGTTAATGAAAAGTGTTAGATCGATGAGATTGATCTGTTTGACTGATATCTAATAAGAATAGAATTTTATTTAAACCCGGAAGAAATAAACAAATATTTTCCTTAAATATCAAATTTTAATTTCAATTAATAAATTTTAAATCGAAATTATTATAAGAAATGCTGAAGACATACGAACTTTACCCTATTCTGCGTGCTGCTGAAGGAAAAATATTGTTGAATATAATTAATTAAATTTTATAATTAAAATTTTATAACTCTGTACAGATTACAATTCAGCTTAATTAAATGGAAAAAAAATTAATTAAATATGTATAAAAGAATTAACCATTCTCCAATTTCTTAATTAAAGATAATACAAATTTACCGTTTGCAAGTATTAAATAATATAAACGAACCTATAATTATTTATTTGCTGAATAATATTCGAAATGAAATGCATTATATAATGATCTTTGTGCGAAAATATTATTAATGTTTATTAATAAATAATAATAATTAATAATAGAAGTGTTTTCTTGAATGGAAGGTGCTTAAGTAAATAAATAATTATATAGCCTATATATATTCAAATCACTGAATAACGGCCACTGACGGAACACAGAAAAGAATGGCCGTTGTATAAAGGTTATTTTTGTAATGGCCACCTTTTACAGGTTAACATTATTGGAGGTTCGAACCTTCAATAACGGTCACCTGTAAACTGCGGCTACTTTTACAGAACGTTGAACGAAAATTCGTACAAAAAGTAACCTCCAAACAACGGCCATTTCATGTTTTCATCATTAGCCGTTGTTAATAGGTTGACTATATATATATTTATTTATTTATTTAAGAAGTTAAGCATCTTCCATGTGAATAATAGAAATGTTTTTATGAAAACACATCTATTATTAATTATTATTGTGATTAATTAATAATTTAACAACAGTTTATGGTTAAATATTCGGATTTTGCAAGTTTTCGCTTGAATAAAATAAACTACCAATCACTATAACTACCAATTATAACTAATTAAAGTCTCCAATTTATATATGGAGCATATTGAATCAATTTATAATTTTTCATAATTTTATTAATAGATATGAACAGGCTATAGACTTATTATTAATACTTTTCCGGTGGTTATATAAAAGAGGGAAGTATGGCAAAACAACGGTCAAAACATGGTCCTCCTCTCAAGAATTGGACTCGAAAAACCTTCAAACGTCGAGAAATGTTAAAACATTTGGGGTTTTTTTTCTGTATGTATGGGTGTTTGTGTGTGTATGTATGTAGGGCGCACGATTTTTCATCTACTTTGAAGCTTAATAATTCCCGTATCTCTTGTCGAAATTTTCCGAAATTTTGTAGGGCAATTTGTATATTAGGGAGTAATGTTTGTAGAAAATTTTAGGAAAATCGGACCATTTTTTCGTGAGATATGATCCCTAACACCTTAATATCTCCCGAACAATCTGAAAACTTAAAGGTAATGGTTGTATTGCAATTATTAGGAATGTAAACAGATAAAGAATTCTACTGTGGGAGTGGGTTGTTAGTTCTCGGGGATTTTCTGGGGCGAGTTTTATGTCTCTTTTTTCTGAGTTATCTCGTGGTTTCCCTGGAAATTCTAGTAAAAATGTTACATTACATCTTGTTTGCCACTGTTTAATGTGTCTTAAGGGAGGAGAATTTTTCAGTTAATTTGAACCTTACTTCGAGCTTCTATCTTATCAAATTAAATCACAGAAATGCACAGAATCGATACATCGATAGAAAATCTTTCTTTAAAAAAATCTTTTAAAAGAAAAATATGCTTTTATTATTTATTCAATTGCGTTTAAATCCACAAAATATGGTCAAAGACGAGAATTTTATTAATGTCTCTGCTTCACGATTCACCGAGTATTACTCACATTTTCGAGGAAATCAAGTCATCATTGAGGCTATAAACTCTGGATGAGTTTATTACTTTTACACTCTGAAAAATTGCTTCTCTTATTCCGTACGGCAAGATGATCGTTAGAAGCTATTACCGTTGCTATGGCGACAGCATCTCTCCAGCTTTACAATTCCGAGTAAACACGATTGTAAAAAATACTATGGGAGTTGCAGATTATTTAATAATAGTAAATATATTGCTAGATTGAAGGAGAATTATAAAATTTAACTAATAAAAAACGGAGCTTGTTTGCTCTAGTCCTCGAGCATAAATTCTCTTATTTAATTGCTTAAAAGTTATTAAAAATGGTAGAAAAATCCGGAAACACGTCATTAGTATTAAAAATATACAAAAAGATATGGTACAGTAACTCTTTTAAAGATTTTAAGAGCTTATTAATTGAAGCAGTCTCTTTGGACTTCTCTTTTAACATTTCTCTAATGGAATATTAGTAAAACATTTTTGTAATTTGATGTCAAAATTACAATATTTATCGTAATTTTCTCAAAATTTTATAAAATAATCATTGAAATTTTGAATTTCCTCTTATTTCCTTATTAATTGATGTGCGTATGTAAATTAGTAAAGTGTTTACATTAGTCTTTTTAATAAATAAGAGTGGTTTATTCCTTATTAATAGTTATCGGCTTTTCAACGTTCGTGAAATAATTAATAACTCCTGTGCCTTTTGTTAAACATTTCTGAAATTTTCCAGTGTATTAGGTGTATTGATGCTGTTAAATTTTGATGGTTAAAGGCATAGGGGTGGGTAGATAAAAGAGGGTGTCACGTGTCGTATCTGGAGTGGGGTCGTACTTAATAAACACTTTACTCGTTATTAGCTTGTTTAAGTTAGTGCGTTGCCCTAACTTAACAACACATGGGCGATCTGCTAGGGGAAATGCCTTCCGAGAAGTCTTTTTAAGGGTAACTGGTCCCTATTTAAGTGTTAAAAAACCTGAAGAAAATCCGGAAAACTCCACGTGTCCAACTACCAGTGTACGTGGCCCTCGGCACTATCAGCACTCAGTGGTTTTATCTACTGGTCCACTGATGGGTACCATAAGCATAATCTTAACTCTTTCGAAGCGTGGTTTGCCTGTGACGACATTACTTCGTTCCTGGAATCTTCTCCCGTTTCCTCGCCCACTCCTGAGGGACTTTCGCACTGCATAAAAGCCCAATAAACACTTTCGCCACGGTATCTTTTACAGTTTCCAATTTTACGATTAGTGTGAACTTTCTATTACACTGTACAAAATATCCTAATTTATTTATTTTTTTTATCTATATCTGTTTATATTACGCTCTTAAACTTTTATTCCCAAGAACATAATCCCAATATATAACTCTGAACTTATAGAAAATAGGAAGACACGCTTTACGATGGTTCACGTAACCACTGTTTATCAGTAATCAATTAGATCGTAAAGCGAAGTCTGTTGTATCTTTGACAAATGTCTTTTATTTTATTTTATTTTATTTTCTATTTAAGTCTTTTCTTCTCTTTATGGATCATTAAGGAATAAATAGGGGAAACTTGCCTAATTCGTACTTGCGCCTAATTCGTACTTCGCTTATATCTTGACTCCCGTAATAGCTATTAGTGTCTCTAGTAGCAAAAGAAGTAAATAACAATCGGTCATATTACCATCTGACAGACAACACGCTGTTACTCTGCTCCCGACAAAAATATTGAAAAGGAAAGTTTTTTTCAACTTTTTCTGTAATATTTTTGCACATTTCGTACGAAATTTCTTCAAATTGGATCGTGTGTAAGTTTTTTAACTATCTGTGATGTATTAGTGCGTATTTTTGTGATTTCATCTGAAGTGATGAAACATGCGTATCTGTTGTCAAATTTTTTGGCGACTAATGTAAAGTTTGTTCGACTCTTGCGCCTATTTCGTACTCGAGGCATGTTCTTAAAACGTACTGGTACGATTTAGGAAAACCATTTTAGATGAATGTCACAATAAGCTATTACCGATTCGTAAACTTATTTTTTTTCTAAGTTTCTGATTTAAAAAATAACCGCAAAAGTTCAAAACAAATTAAAACTTAATCGTCTTTAATTTTAGAACAACATGTCAAAAAGAAAATATAATTCTTGGAGTAAAGAAAATATGAAAGAACCGATTAAAAAATATAATGACGGGACCTTATAATTTAACGAAGTTTTAGTGTATATAATGTACCGAAATTGACATTTAGACGACAGTTACAAGAACTGAATACACATCAAAGAATAGACTAGATAGGTCATTTTTCAAATCACTAAAACTGAATTTTAGTGCTGCTTGCGCATCGTGGATGCAAAGCATCCTGGTTCCTTAATAAAACATATCCTCGAGCCGTTTGTATGGACACAGGAATGCATGGCTTCGAATCTTGCGGATTGTGTCCTCGCAATCGCTTTAAGATCGGAGATGAGGAATATGTTGTTCTTGACGAAGATGCTAATTTAAGTGAATCGGCAGAAGTCTCCAGAATCTGGCAACTGAAAGGCAGCAAGAACAAACAGATACTTTAACGTGTGTGGCACAATCCAATCAGACTACCGAGCAAGAACAGACTGAAGAAGTTGAGTACCCACAACTTCCTGAGGTACAGTACCAACAACTCACCCTTCGGAAAAACAGCGAGATCAATGTCTAGAAGAGAAAGCGAAGGAATGTTCTTTAGATATGAAAGTAAACATTTCTAATACAGAGACAGTTCGAGCGACATTTGAAATAATTTCTCCACTACGTGGTATTCTTGGAATTGCAAGAAGAAAAACGTATGAAAGAATCTTGGTTCGAAGAAAAACAAAACTACTAAAATATCACAAAAGGAAAAAAAAACAGGGAGATGAAAATATCAGTTGGTACTGTAAATTATGCCAAGAAGACGTAAAAGAAAGTATGATCAAATGCACACAATATGAGATACGGGTACATGAACTTTGCGCAGGAACCAATAAAAAACAACAGATTACAACTGCGATGACTGCCAAAAATTGGCGAAGACCATCTGCCGAATTTGTTAAGAGTTAATATACACACGTATTAATACATTATTGATAAAGATTTTTATTCTTAAGACTGCAAACCAATGATAGGATCTCAAAGTACGATTTAAGAATATATCAGTACGATTTAAGACGAATGTTCCTAAATCGTACTTTTTTCAGTGTTTTTTTAAATTGTTTATTTCTCAGAAGTTTATAAGATTTATGCTAAATTTTACTATGGTAGTGATAAAATATTTCCCAAATAAAAGTTACTTAAAATAAAAAATAATTTGTGTTTATTAATTTCGATAATATGATAGTTTTTCTTTAAGTGGTACGAATTAAGCAAGTTTACCCTACATAATCCTTATATCTATAGTTACGTCGGGCCCATGTAGTACAGTACGGACTGAACCCGCAATGGGTATGATTAAAAAGCAGGCCCTCTTAGAGAGTACAGGACACTAAAATGACATATTTATGTAATAAAATATTTTATATCTATAATTGGATTAATATTAATATCTGTAATTAATCACGCATTAGAAATAGGATGATTTTATCCACTCCGTTACTGGAAGATACTTATTGGGTTGGAATTTAAAAAATTTTATATATCTATAAATTCTCATTGTCTATAAGTCTCATTGCCGTCTGTCTGTTCGTCTGTCCTTTCTTTAATCTCGAGAACGTAGTTACATAGATGAAAGTCGAGACCAAATATGGAAAGGTTAAGAGCAGGAGATCCAGATTATTGTCGCAGTAGTTAAGTGAATTATATTATATTCACTTAATTACTATATATTTTTTAAAACTATATCTTTTTTTGGTAAGAATTATATTTAGTTTATTATTTTCTTCAATTTTTTGCCAATAGATTGGTCTATGTGTAAAGCCAACAAATTGAATGTAGACAGAAATTAATTGATAAATGGAAATCTAATCGATATTTTGGGGTGGGATTAAGAAATTATCCAAGTTAGAAAAGTGTAAACGTAACTGCCGAGTTTCGTAGTTATTGGTCGAATGGTCTAGAAGTGTATAGAGAACAAACAAACATTCTCATTTATATATATACAGTCGACCCCCCTATAAGATATAGATACGTTCCAATTTATTAGGAATCCGATTTCTTACAAGTCGTTCCAATCACAGCCCGACACGTGTCAAGTTTACGGACTACGGCTGATTGAAAGGTTTTCTTCCATAAAATTAATCGATTCTACACTAATCCGACTCAATATTTCCAAAATACGTATATTTTTTCGTAGTTTTATAAGAATCGTAATTATAGGGACTGTAATTATAGGGGGGTCGACTGTATATAGAAGATAGTAAGAGAGGCGAAGATGAGACGAATCTATGAAAATAAGAAATATGCGTTCTCATTTCTTTATGATAGACATAAAAATATATACAAATAAAATGAATGAAGCAAATAAAAATTTTATTAAAAATAATTTAATACAGTATTTTATGAAAGAATAAGTTGTGACATCTAAAAAATATTTTGTACTTGATATTTATTGTTGAATCATAAATTAAAATTCGAAATATATAAAACAATTCAATTGTCATTTAATATTTTGAAAAGTTTTATATATATAGAATTTCTTTTACTCATTTATTTATTTATTTATTTATAAGATGGTTTCTTATTATTTATAAAAAGAAATGACCATTGAACTTATAAATGTAACTAAAATCAATTCAATTTTAAGAGAAACTTTTTCATTCGGATACTTTCGATTTCTCTCTTGAATATCAAGTATCCAACGAACAAAGAATATAGCTTGAAGGGATGAAACGTTACATTTGAAACCTCTCGTAATAATAGCAAATTACCAAAGGCAAAATGAAATTACAATTGATTCTCGGGGTAAAACAGGTTCTCTCTGCAGGTAAAAGAATTATTATTATTAAAAATATAATCGATATTATTCTACAACTATACACAGATGAGTTTTAAATTCATAGAAGTGATTAATTTATTGATGTATTAATTGTCTCCGAGTTTTGCTATCCCCGTGAAAAATTTTCTGCCAACGCCCATGGTGATAACCTCGTGCTCTGGGGGGGGAGGGCCAGGATTAAATCCTGACGGATCATAATAGCCCAGAAATTTTGCGGGAGGTGGTCCGTACGGATACGTCGGGCCTTTTTGTGGGACTGGCCGAACGTATAATAGGCTTGCTAATGATTTATTAAGCCCTCTCGAAGCCAACAGGACGAAAAGAGTTTTAAAAAAATACCAACAGACTCGGACAGAAGATGCGAAAGTAGTTTAAGTCTACACATAGCGAGGACCCCACAAAGTTTTGTTTTGTTTTTATAAGGAAACGCGACACTTGAGCGATCTGCGGAGGGTTTCTTTTTATGTTTTAGGCTCTTTTCCACTCTGAGAGTATTAAAAGGCCAGAGAATGTTATGTATGGAAGAGTGTACTGTTGGTTAGTAAAAGGTGTCCCAAGAAGAACTCATAAGAAAATCTAGTCCCTCATGAGGGTTCATAAATTTACGTGTATTTTGCTATGTTTTAATCTTTATTCTGCATGTTGTGTTTATATGTTTGTGCTGAGATAATTATTTACCATATAAGTATATCTTGCAAGAAGAAAATAACAGGAAAGTTTGTAGATTGCAAGAACTAACCAACCAGACCTAACTTGTTATACTGAGTTACCCAAGGCCACCGTGGCAAAGAAGGCAGTAGTGGGCAATCTAATGATAAGAGTTTCCAGCAATTTAGAGAAGTAATTATGATAGGAATACTTCAACACCCCACAGGAGCATTACAGTATGAGCCTTCCGGGAGGATTTAGAGGAGAACTTGTCCCCCATTTGGATAGACACGGATGTGGAAGAAACTGGGAAAAACACCACATAGATAGCCAGAAGCAAGTCGAAAAGAGCCAGTCAGAAGTAAGAACCTCCTTGACTGGGGGATAATTATTATTAATGAGAATGGGGCAAAAACATACCAAGGGGTGGTGGAGACAATTATGAAATTATGTTGCTGAAGACTTTGCAAGGGGGGAAAATTTCTTAGTCTCGCTTTATAACAATGTTTTGGATCGAGAATTTAAATTCCATATAGTTTTATACTAAATTTAAAATTAGATAAATCAACAAAAAAATACAAAAATATATAAAATTTTTAACAAAAATGAAAAATTTATTTCATATGGAAACAAACTTGTTAAAGCTTTAAAGAAATAATAAAATAAAACTTTTCTGCTTGATATGAAATAAAAATAAAAAATTTGATTAATGTGGTACATAAAATTTGAACGTGCAGAAAATTTAACGTACCGACATTATTCATATAATTTATAACAGTGGATTTTTTCGTCTGAATAAAATTCTATTATATTGTATTATGTTGAGTTATTTATACTAATATTTCATAACGTGTTGCTTTGTGAAATTATAATGAATAATTAGTTTGTTTTTGGTTGCACCAGTAAACGATAAGTGTATAAGTTTATTTAAGTTACTAAGTTACTCACAGTTAATCCCTAGTCTTTGGCTGCCTGTGCATGACTTTGCTCGAGTTTTTGATGGTGTAGGGATTGGTGAGGTTGGGTAGGAGAAGGATAAAACAATGATCACAGTAACTAAATTGTACGTTTATTCAGCCGAACATTTACAGTTTCATTATTGTAAAAATAATAAAACTACAAAACAGAGAAAATTGCTCAGGCTTGAGTGTTAAGAGGGGATGAGCTTTGGGGATAGTTGGGGAATCTTCACAGTACTTTTTCTAGGGTGTCGAAGAATATCCGTGCCAAATTTGGTGTGAATACGTTGAAAGGTGTGTGTGTGTGAGTCCGTCTATTTCGTTTAATATCTCAGGATGGAGTGAAGATAAAGAAACGAAATTTGGTATGGTAGCTTGTTTATAAGGGGCATTGATGCAATTAAATTTTGGTTTGGTAGCGTGCACATATTGCGACAACAGTTATTGCTTCATTTTTTACTCCCACCCCCTTCTGTATGCAATTCGTCATCACCATTGCCTCCCCTCCCCATTTGTGTAATCATATGTACAATAAATGTCAATTAACAACAGAATATTCCAAAATAAACAAATTATTTTCTATGTGCATGACTTCTCCTTCCCGTGTCAGCCTTCATCAACACCTTCTTGACACTTACCCCTCTCGATGTCTCTCAATAAATGCACGCCGTCTTTTGAAAGGTCCAGTGGATGGAGAGATAAGTGTCATATCTCGAGTATGGTCAGACTGAATGAAGATTTTTTTTATTAATTAGCATTTACAATTTTTTTATATATATATAAAACTCATCTGTACCTTTAAAATTAAGTCTTTTGACATTTTACAACAATTAAAAAAAATGTATAACAAAATCTCATAACAGATGGCGCCACACAGAATTTTATTTATTTATTATGATTAATAATATAAAAGTTATTTTTTTAATAAAATTTTATAATAGCAGGAGAAAATTACTCAATTAGTTGCTAGATTTTTTTCATTAGTTTTAATTTAGTGAATAAAAATTTGAATTAATTGCATTTCAATGAACTTTGAGTAGGAAATGATACTATTTCTTCCAATTTCTAACATTACGAAGTTCATCGGATGGCCGAAACGGTAAAAATGTCTACTCGGTGCCCTGAGGAACTGCATCTGGTTCGAGTTTGATTAGGGTAAAGAAATCTCTATCGAATGGTTTTTTCACATTTTTCGTAATTATTGGGCTGCAATTTTCAAATTGCAGACGTTCCCACTGTCGTTCGTCTGCCCGTCTGTCCTTCGTTAATCTCGAGAACAGAGTTAAATACATGAAAATAAAGACCAGATATGGAAAGCTTTGATTAACTACATACGAACTTTCGGTTCAGACGGAAAGTCACGTGAATTTTTAAATTAAAAATTGCACCCAGCATTGTGATTATGTCACAATGATATACATTTGATTTTTATATATTCCATTCTTTATCATGGAAACTTGTCGCGAAATGCTTCTCGTAATGTTCTTGTAATTTACTAACATACCAAAAATTTTTCTTGATATCAAAGATCTCATCTATCTCTTTTGGGAATCCGAAATCGAAGCCAGGCGGTCGAAAACTACAAGGATTTTTCAAAAGATAATCTGTTTCGATATACTAGGCCTCTTCCTTCACTATCTGTCGCCCCATATTGGACACGACTGAACCCACAACGGGCCTAATTAAAGACATCCAGTTTCCACAGAACGAAAAGAGTAATTTTGCAGGGAGATTTGTGTATTGGGGTATAATATTACTGTATTAAATATTCGTGGTTAAATGCCGAAGGATGAAAAGGTAGAGGGAGATCATGTGTCTTAGCTCTAGTGGAATAAGACTTAAGTTTTTTTACTACTTATTAGCATTTTCATTTTTTTTATTAAACTCATCTCTACTCTCGAAATTAAACTTTTTTCTGTTTTATAATAATTGATCATATAAAAAATTTTTAAAATACAATTGTAAAATTCAAAGGTAACCTGGTGTTTTCAAAGCTTTTTCAAATATTTTTCATTTTCTCTTCTATCGTTTCCACTGAAATAGCAGCTTTTTATTTATCTCAGTTTTACGTTTCCTCTATCTGTCCATGGACACACCTGATACTTCCCAAGAATTCCAACTTCCAAAGCAATACAAAACACAATAATTTTGATGATTTATATCAACAGTTATTTATAAATGTTCAGTAACACAAAACAAAATGAATAACAAACTGCACATCAGTTTCTATTGAGTGACCGAAATCCAACAGTAGTAGGATCCGCGATGATATACGAGTAGCATAAGATTGTGACTAATCAGACTATATCTAATGCTCCCATATTTATTATAAATTATATACTGTATATCTATATTTAAAACATACTCCATTCTCGGATTCTTTATGTCCTTTCTCGGTTTCATTCCGAAAATTCTCTTTACCATTTTTTTATTTAAAATACGTAACTAAATTTGTGATGAGGAAACTTTTCCTTATAACATATACAGAGTGACTGAAAAGTAACTAGGAATTAAGAAATTATAATAATTTTTATACTTCTAAAGCAAAGGTAATTAAAATTCTTAGACATGCACCTTATAAAATTCAAATATGGACTGATAACATTATAATTCAATATAGATGCCGGCGCATCCCCAACGACACGTTTTCCTCAGATCATGATGTGGATGAACGGCCATTTCTCTGTGCGTCCGCAATCGAACCGTTGGTCATTTTAGCTTAAATTGATAATTCCCGAATTTTTCCGGACAGATTGTGGCATGACGTTCCTTTACCGTGCGCCACCATTTTTGCACAGCAACCCCTGGTTTCCACAACTTATAGCATGCAGCAATCTGCGCCCGCTCCTAAACAGACAAGTGGTCGGCCATTCTTTTTTGCCACTGCGCGTGCAGTCTTTCTCTGTCATCTCCCACATCATTATCATCACTAATAAAATTATAAAATTTCATTGATTACTATACATGCGCACATAAATCTTTTTATGATTGCGTTATATTAAAAAACATCATAGTAATTTCTCAATGCCTAGTTACTTTCCAACCACCCAGTACATAAAGTATAGATATATTAATTTCGATATAAAAACGATATTAATTAAAAGAAGGTAATCTCTTACATAGAACGTGTGAATTTATGAGAATTATGCCATTTAAACGAATATGCGACGTTTTCATATTTGACTCTCCAACCTCAAGGCAATAAGAGGGCCTTTTAATATTGCCCAACAGCTGTTCTGCCGGGTCCACAATGGGAGTGACCAGATGTGAGTGAGAGAGCCCGACGTATCCAGAACAGAATACCCCAAAAAATTCCTAATGTTTTCGATCTCCCGAATTTTAAAGGCCTAGATATGAAAGTAACGACACGCTTTTTCGTAGCTTTTGCCGACAATTGCTATATATGATTGGGCGAGAGAGTGTCTGTCACATGTAACACGACTCCATTTTCTGGTCAAACGATAGAAATAAGTCATTAATGCTTGAGTGTAAGTTTAATATTATTTCGTGCATTCTTGTTTTTATCTTTCGTGCTTTAATTTAAATATACTGTATTGTTCCTTTGCACCTGTTCTAATCGTGCATCCACTATATTACAATTATTTGCTAAAAGTCCCTTAAATGAATAGACCAAAATATCGTAAAAGCAATTCTAAAATTTTGTCCATTTTTACATGCTCATATTAATCAAAAACAATGGTAATTTACTTACCTATCGAAGTCTTCGTAATTCTTCCGAAAATGTCAAAAGAGAGGAAGAAGAATTCGGAACTCTCACAATAATCTTTGCTTCGAGATGGAAACCAACAATTAAAAAAAATCAACAATATGAAGTTATTATTGGAACGTTCGACATTATGATAAATATATTATGCGTTATGTCAAAATTTCTACATTAAAAAGTTAACATTTCAAATAATTTAATTGCATTTTTTTACATCTTTTGGTTTTAAAATATTTCGCACGTAATTAATTTTTTCAGAATATTCAAGGCGAGATTTTATAATTTCGTAAGGTTGGTTATGAACGACGGCATCCATTATTTAGAAATAAATATAATAGATATCCTATTTGAAGGATCTGGGGATTGTAAAAATGCCCGTTAAGTAGAAGTTTCCGCTATTCGGGAGTGTCCTTTTTTTAAACTCTTTCCGCTCTGTGGGCACTAAGAGTGGGCCTCTTTTAGCAGGCCCATTATGAGTTCGGCTTGGCCCACAATGGAGCGGGTAATTTCAACCTCTCCGGGTAATGTTTAGGGTAGACTTACATTTAGGATAAATCTAAGGTAAAACTGCCCAGTGATTTGATGCTGTTACCCATCCCGCCACAAGTTTAACCGGAAAAAGTTTTAACCTAAAAGCGTTCTGTTGTTCTATATAAATGGAGAGTTTTAGGATATGACAATAGAAGCTAAAGAAATAAAGCAGATTGGTGGTTTCATTTGAACCTTCAAAACGATTAATTAATTTTTAAAACTAATCATTTACGTATTAAAGTATGTTTCAAATCAACTGAATGGCTTATTTAATTATTTATCTTCGGCTAAGATACACAATTCATGTTGAAAGTGAATTAATTAAAATTAAGTTTAAAAAGTTGCATTTATTAGACTATGGATATATTTTGATTATATAGTTCCACTAGAAGCAGGTGGCAGTAATGATTATAACACCCTTACAACTTACCGCTTCATTAAAAAATAAAAACAGAAAAGGATGGAAGAAATAAGTGTCGCTAACTGGAGGATAAATTAAACCAATAAATAAAATAAATATTAAAATTTTAGCATTAAGACATGAAGCATAATAATAATATACACATGCCAACACTTGACTGCTTCCATTGTGAGTCTGGCCAAATTCACAAAGGGCATTAAAAAATCCAGCAAAGATATCCCGGCAAAATTTGAAAACTGCATGTGGTGCCATCTGCTATGATATTTTATTTTAAAAACTTTTTTATATTTTTAATTAATATAAAATACTAAAATGCTTAATTTTGAGGGTAAGGATGGGTTTTACAAAAAAATTGTCAATGCTACTATCGAGTAAAATCGTCATTATGTCCGACCCTACTAGAAATACACACGATTCCGTTTATCTCCCATTCCGTCGATCTTTAACCACCAAAATTTAATAGCATCAATCTCCTCAATACACAAATCTCCCTGCAAAATTTTTAAAATTTTCGACAAAAAGCACGGGAGTTATTAAGCATCAAACAGGGTGAACAAAATCGTGCCCCACACACTAACATCCACACATAGAGAAAAAAGTCCCGAACCTTTTTGCATTTCTCGACGCTTCAAGGTACAAAAATGAAAAAATCTTTAAATGTCATTGTTTGACCGATCGCCATACTTTCCCTCTGTTATATATAACAGAGCCGGGAAAGTAAAAAGACTGTCCTTAGTGTCCTAGTAATCACAGGATAGAAAGAGTCCAAAGCAAAATACTTGTAATCGGCTAATAATTTTATTTGTAAGTAAGCCTTCTTTATTATATAATTTTTATGACATAATCAAAAATATTCCGTTTATTTTAAAACTGTAAAACCATCGAACAATAGTAATTGATCGTGGGTTCGCGCCTCGACAAAGAACTGGCCACGTGGAGTCTTCCGAATTTTCTAGGTAGGGACCAGTTTCCCATAGAAAGTCTTCCCGGGTGGCATCTCCTCGGAAAACCGCCCACATGTGGTTTTGCCGTATATGAACAATAACTGCTTTATAAACCCTTCGTAAGTTCAGGCAGGTCCACATTGGAACGGCCGAATACGGCCGAAAAGACTCCGAAAAATTCTTAGGATTTTGTGTTTTGTCCAAATTTTATCCCGGACAAAACAAAACCAGGCCGCTAACAAAGCCAGGTTCATAATGAGATGGCCTGGTGGAGAGGGACAAATTTGTACGGACGGACCATCCCCGAAAAACTCCTGTCCAGATTTGATTCTGGATCCCCAGAGCGGTATGTTGTCAAGTTAACCGCGCAACTATCTGGCCGTCTCCATTGTTTGACCGGGTGATGGGATGGATTTGACATCTTCGGAACAGACTACACATGAAAAGTTTTGTTAGTTCCTGACTGAAATTCGAATCCGGTTCCCTCGGAGCGGCAGACAAACGCCTTTACCACTTCAGCCATTTGGCTGTCATAATGAGCAAATTACAATTGAAAACTTCTAGTATTATATAAACTCATAAATTTTTAGAAAATATTTAATATTTCATTTAAAATAATCATTTAAATGTTATAAATTTTATAGAATTTATAAAGAAAGAAAAACCATTATCCGAAAATATAATCAAAATCTTATTAATATAAATATCGATTATTGATCTGCCAAAGAACGTGATATTAAAAAAAAATTAACAGGTACGCGTATTAATTAAATCGATTATAATTTATTATTAATTTTTCGAGTACTTTAGTCGATTTTAAATAGTTTAAATTACTAATCATTTTCAAATTCTTCTATTAAGATCCGGGTTCCCTCCTTCCCATTCGCCATCTTGTCGCTTTGCATGGTGGGTGGAAGAAGAACGGTAAGTTACCCATAGTTCCATCTTTTTCCCGACATTCAACGCTTCTTCCTTAGCAACGGTAGTTGTTTGCAGCTAGGGTCGTCGAGAGATTTCGTTTTTATTAAATATTTTACAGATTTAATAATTTTTCCATGTTAAATGTGAGATGGTTGACAGGCAAAGTAGTATTGCATTACAAATGGAAACCCTTCCCATCGCCATCTTGATATATGGGTGGGGAACGAAGCTTTTATCTAGGCTTAGGTGGGTTACTCTTTACATGAGTAATTATCTCGTGTCAAATAATTTATCAACATTTTATTTGCATGATAATTGATTGTTAAATAAAACTGTGCGCTTAATTTCATATTCCTTGATTTATAAAAAGGCTGGGTTTATTGTTCAGTTACAATTCTGTTAATAATTTACAGGGAAAACAATTCATTTATAAACACTTCATACAATTATAAATAAAAACAAAATTAGATTCAGGCTCCAAACCATTCATTTGGAGCCTGAATCTTGCATTATTTTACACTGAAGATTTTGAGTCCACTTCTTCCTAAGTTAATTTATTAGAAAAATGCATTCAAAAGTTATTTTTAAATACAATATTTAAACAATTGAATATAATTAAGCTAGCATCGAGGTCGTATACTTAAAACGTGCAACTAATCAATTTTTATGACCCGATTGGGTGCAAGTTGATATGGTACTTGTTACATCGGTTTCGTATGTTGTCTATTATAGTTTACTTGTACTGTACCTATACTGTAATACTGTATTGTATTTAAGGAATTATCCCACATTGAGACTTTTTAAATATAATACAGTATAATAGCATAGGATCAAATAAGTGGCAAGCTAATTACAACAGTTTATTATATATTATAATGTATAAAAAAATAAAGTATGTACGGGATTTTGTCATGATTCATCTATACTTGACTAAAAATTGCTAGAATGTGTTTCTCTTTGTAAACTATATATAACACAAATACAATTCGTATAGGAGTCATTTAACTTTAGATAAAAGTTTGTTTTTCTGTTCAAGTTGTTGATTTTTATTAGTGAAGTAATAAAGCTGTCTCTTAGAAATATTTCAAATTAATGAGGGCCCAGTCTATTTAACATACAGGATTTATGCAGGGAAATTAAATATTCTAAAACTGCTACTTTGATTATTTTAAAAATGGCATTAAATGTATTCATAGTTAAAAATTGATAAATGTAAGATTCTTCAAATGTTTAATTAATGAAAAAATAATATTGCTTCTTAACAATTTAAAGTGAAGGATGAAGAAACAGTGTTTTTGTTGCATTAAAATACTAAAAAAAATTGTTTTGTTATAATTGAATTCAAATTAGGTAAAATTTATAATTTTTTTTTAAAGCTATTTACTTTAATTTTTTATTCAAATACAGTTCTAGCAGAACTATGAATATTTATTCTTTAATTAATAAAATAAAATTTATATCAAAAACTTCATTAAACACTCTTCCATAAATATTCTTGGTTTCGTGCNTGAAGTTTTTGATATAAATTTTATATATAAATAGAATTTTATAAAAATTTTTAAAAAGTTTCATCAAACTTTTATAATGAAGTCGTATTAATGCAGTAAATTATGGAATTAAGTATGTTATCTGCAAGTGTAATACTGTAAATACTCATTAAATAAAAAAAATATACTTTTCACACCAATAATTGATCATTAAATAAATAAATAAAAATTGTTTTATTTATTTAATGATCAATTATTGGCATGAAGGGTATATACTAAGACCTTGTTTATCAGTTAGGATGCATTCTTAGATGACAAAGCGCTAAATGAAACAGCGTTAAATAAGGTAATTTTAACATGTAGAAAATAGGGAAAGGGAAACATGATGAAAATAAACAAATTTTACTTTAATTTTAACTTATTTATATATTAATTTGCATAATAATATATGATACATAACAAACAAACATATGCACACAAATATAAAGTTTATTTTTGTAATGAATGTTCTGGCTCTTCTGAAATTCTTGATTTTTTTGGAATGAGCTTGTCTAGTGTCATTTGTCGCTTTCTTTTTATTTCATTAATTAAGCAAATCTCGGTAGAAGGAGACCACATTCAAAATGCCTCGTCTTGCTTTTGTACTGTACTCCTTTCAAAATCTAGATCATTCTCTAAAATTTGATCAACGATTTCAGTTGTCATTAGCAAACTTTTACTAAGGAAATCTGTAGCCAGTTCTTTGGGTTCTTCATTTTTAGAATCTCACTAATTTTTGGTTCTACATGTTCTTCCAGTTCTTGAATATTGTCACCAGAAACCTGCAATAACTGCACAATATTCTGATCATCTACATCTAGTCCTGTATCGATTAGGTTGACAATTTGGACAGTGATAGGTTCTTTTCATTGAAAATCCTTGGATACCTCCAGCCATACCTTCTTTCCCACTTCGTTCATGCATTTACCAGTTAATTCTTGCCAAGTGAAGTTGATATTATCTATGGCATCTGTGATGTTATATAAAATTGCACCAAACAAACATAGATTTAGAGAAAGTATAGCACTAAGATGAATTGCCACCTTTTGCTGATTGGTTCATATCCGGGAATAATCATATTATATACGAATCAATGAAATGACACGATAATTGAAACAGTGTAAATTTTGAGCTATTTTTTAGGCTTCGAGCAGACTGCATTATATCAAATCAGTGTTGATCAAGGAAGTGCTAAATGAGATCTTACTGTATTTTTATTTATTGAAACCACCATAAACACTCAAGTACAAGTTTATTGAAACAAATTCAATTATCTAAAATTTTCAAATATTTTTGAATAGTTTAGTTATTTTTAAGGAAAAATTTTTTTTAAAAACTTGGCTGATGGTATTTAAAATTTATAAAAACATAAAATGTCATGAACATGCAAAAACTTTGTTTCCTCTTTCTCTTTCATCATTTCAACTAGTGACAGTCCAATAAAAGTTTCATCTCCATGTATGAAAATTGTATTTGGACTGTTGCTGGTTGAAATGATAAAAGAGAAAAAATGAAAACAAAGTTTTCTGTATGTTCATGACATTTTATGTTTTTATAAATTATTTTTAGGAATTATTATTCTAATTACCATACATTTTTTTTCTTATAAAAATTTTTGTTTAGTTCTTAGTACAAATGACACAATGTAGCAACCATTCAATTAATAAAACATTAAAATTTGCAGATATTTAATAGATGCAGAATTTATTTGTATTGTATTAATCAATTAACAATAATTATTAAAATATCATGGTTATTTCTATGAAATATTTGATGATTATATACAGTATAAGAAATATTTTAGAGAAAATTTAGTCACATGAAAATGAAAATGTCAATCTCTGGATTAAGATCAGCCAAAAGTCTAGTTGAATAATCATTCTTCTTTGCCAGCTATTTGTGAATAGTATATAGAATATCAATTTTTTAGATTAAAAATTTGTCTCTAGATCTTCCTAATAAATTATTTTTAAATTGTTTCATCTTTAACAGATTCTTAATCAGTAATTATTTGAAACTTTTTTTTTTTGTCTAATTCTGCCTCATACATATATGACTATATGTTGTCTGTTATTTTGTATCTATCATATCTACATAAATGTACTTAATATTGTTTTGTATATAAATATGAAATAAAATCACTATTTTCAATATGCTATTTTGTTTCTTTGTGATTTTTTTAAGGTTTTAAACAATAAGTATTTGTTTAAAAAATGAAATATTTAAATCTCTAGCAAAGTGAGCATTGTCTGAATTTTTTAATACATTGTTGTAGTATATCAATAACTTTTACATTGAGACTCTGTTTTATTATGATTTTCGCTTTTGAAATTTTCAAATCAGAATGTAGAACCCTGAAAAAACAATTTTAAATGTTTCTTCCCATTAAACTGATAATTGGAAATAACTTTTTACTGTACTGTACATAAAGCAGTTGACCAAATTATATATATAATTTTTTTTTTAAATAATATTCCAAGAACAAAGTGTATCATTCAAATTTGCCTTGATATTCAAGTTGTTAATAATTTAAATCTGTCCAACAGTTTTTTAATTAAGCAAATGTTCTCAGTCTCTTTTGAAAGGTCACCTTCAGGCTACATTCATTAAGGAGAGATCATCTGTTATAAAATGAAACATTGTCTAATTCAAACAAATTTGAAGCAGGAAAAAATATGTTTCTCTTCATTCTAAAATCAAACATAATGCAAATTAAACTTTGTCCTTCAAAGTTTCAAATTCAGGAACATAATCTTCAGAGAAACAATGCACAAAAACTATAATAAATATATTATATATTGACTATAATACTTCTGACGATGGCTTATCAAAAGAGGCCAAAAACTTTCATTTAATTAAAAATTGCTGGAAAGGTGTGAATCATTAATAATTTTAATCATCCAGTAAGTGTGTTGAATCTAATTCTGTTTAAATAAAATAATATTTGCAACTAAAAATTATATCAAATAGAAAACATCAAACTTAAATTTAATGAAAGTTGCATCAAGTTACGTAAAACATCCTATATAATTTTATTTTTCAAAGTATACTAAAATTATAATCAATAGTATAACTAGAACTGATATTAGGATCTAGTTATACTACTTGAATTAGGATAAGCAAACCTACATTCATCCCTGTGTGACTGTGAGTAAAAATAAACTATATATTGTCATTTTTCATATTCAAATCTTTCTCTGGTTTTTGATTTTTTTCTTCATTGTTATTTCATTCTTCATATTTTCATTTTCTTATTTACAAAGTCAAGGGGAGGGAAATGAGATTGATATAATCAGTATCATAACTAAGGAGTTACACTAATGAATTATATCCAAAATATGTATTAAATTATTTGGTTTGTTAAATGGTTTGTTGTATATACCATTCAGTTGTTTTTTACATTTTTCCATCTATACAAATTATCCTATAATTACCTTATTTTTTTGAATATGTCAAAATAGTTTTGCAGTAGCAAACTGTTTTCACGGAATGGCACAAAAAGACCCACAGGAAGTGTGCACGTAGATGGTAACAGAAAAATGGAAGAAGCCACTTTGTTCCTAGATTTGGAAAAGACGTGTAAGGAGTCATACTCTCAACTAGTCGCCAAAAGATTGTACCATGATATTCATAACTTGTTCTCTGTAGTGTGTATAGAATAAAATAAAACCTTAAGTCAGATTATAATACATTAGGTTTTATTTCAAACTCAATAATACTTTTGCATTTTCAATAACAGCATGTGTTGAATAATATGTGGTTAGTCATTATCACAAGCTAATCCATTCAAAGACTCATTCTTTTATTTTTAATAACTATTTTTAAAATTTTTAGTTGAATTGATTATTTCATTATTGCATGTTGTATAAGAACAGATGAATTTTCTATAGTAAGGATATTATATATTGTGCTTCCTTAAATGTAATTATTTCTTAAAATGCCAAATTATATCTTATGTTTGAAGTTATCAATTAGTAAAAACATTACGCCATCCAAAAGCTCAAATATTACAACATATATAAACAACCAAATAAATAAATTATGGGCAATAATTTAACCTAATGGGAATCTGGTAGTTCCTTTGAATAATTTATCATAATAATATACAAGCTAACAAGGGAACTAAACAGCATTCCAAAAAGATCCTTTTATGAGAACATACAGATAAATTAGCAGTGTGCAAAGCTATATATAGATCAGAGGAGTGCATTTTGAAGACTCATACTAAACAGAATCATTTATGCCAAAAATGTTGTTTTTATAAATTCACTTCCCAAGCTTATTAGATGTGCCATGTAGCTTATTAGATGTGCCATGTAGCTTAATGATAAGTAAACATTTTTATATGCAAGAATTTATAGTATAAGCTACATACATAAAATAAACATATTTTATAGTTTTTTGTAGCTTTCTGGCTTATATAAATTTTTTCCCAATAAAAAGAAAATAAATTATTTTAAAGTAATTTGTTTAAATTAGTTTAATATTTCATTTGAATAAATAACTCATAAATTTTTCTGTTATTTTTAAGATTTCCAATTCTAAGAACATGGAATTCTTCATGAACATATTCTCATAGGAATTCATTCCAAAATAAATATAGGAAATAATCTAATAAGCATCAATATAAATTTTATAATTAATTAATTATATTACTATTTTTAAATTACTGTATCATTTTTTAAAATCTCGTTGCAATAAAATAATTATTTTTGGTTATAGATTAGAACTTTATTATGGATGACAATAGCACATCAGAAGGGTGTTCTGATAAAACTGAAAATTCTTCTTTAGAAGGAACTCATGTCCAAGAAGTCATTGGTTTGCTATTGGCAACACCAGTAAGTTGATTTTAAGATATTTTTTGTAAGTTTTAAAATAAAGATATTTTAAAATAATAATTATATTTAGAATGAACAAGGTGAAGATAGTTCCCATGTCATCAGTTTGCCAATTACTACTAAACCAGATCCTGATCCATTGCCTATTTCTTCTGAAGCAACAATATCAATTTCTACCTCATCTCCTCTCAACATATCAACTGTTGCACTAACAAATGCTTCAATGCCACTTGTAGAGCATAATTTAACTGATCACACAGTAGAAACTCATACTGTTCAGTTAGGTGATGGAACAACAGCTTTGGTTCACACTCTACCTGCTGATGAAGTAGATAGATTAGATGGAATGGCAAAATTTATAGATGGACAAGCTGTACAGTTGGCAGATGGAACAACAGCTCTTATTCGAACAACTCCTCAAGGTGTGATACATACCTATATTAACTTGATAATGTTATCAAGATTTAGAAAACATTATATTTCTCAATTTTTCATTGCTGTCATTTTTTATTAGAAGGTTTTCAACCAGTTCAGCTTGAAGATGGTACAGTAGCTTATATTGCACCAACTGCATCAGAAGCTCTCTTTGATACTGAAGCTGGCTTGAGTTTAGAACAGTTAACAACAACACAGGTTAGAAATAATGCAATAAATTATATTATAGTATTCCAGCTATTTGAAATAAAGTTTCATTAATGAAAAAAGACATCGTTTAATGAAAATTACTTACTGCCACATATATGTTTAATATACCTACTAAATGTAGTTGATGTTCTTTATTTAGACTGTTCTTATAGTATTTTGGAAGATTCAATTGAATTTATATCATCAAAATTAATAAACAAATTTTAATTACAGTAGGACATGTTTAATATTTAGATATTATGTTTAAATATTATTAAACAGAATGATACATAATGGAATGTTGATGATAATCACAACATATGATTTCTTATAAAAACAATCTTATGATAATATTTTCTGATTCTTTTTGTTCTTGTTCATATTTACAGATAAATAGCTTTAAAAGCTCATTAAATAAAATATTATGAATGTGTCTTAACATTTAAATAATAAAAATTCATAATTAAAAACATTATATTGGTTATTCAATAATAGTTTATAACAACAGAATTACTCAAATTAAATTTTGAGTATTAAAAAAGTATTTGCCTTTGATTCATCAAAAGCAAATATTTTTAATTGTTTAACTTATGACTATGCAGAATAATAAAATATACTGTGTTTATAAAATAACTTACGGCAATATATTTTTATTTGTTAAGTTATAAATTATAAAATATATTAAATAATATATTTATTCTCAATAAATTTTGGATTTTTATATTATATTATACAAATTTGATCTGTTATCTGAGTTTGTCTAATTTTGAAAGAGTTATATTTAGTAAGTTTTTTCATTTTATTTGAAAAAGTCAAAAAGTTTTTTATTTAAATGAAAATAAACAATTGAATAACTATCATAAACTTGAGACAATGTAGATACTGTATTTACTCGCATATAAGACAATCTCAAATATAGGATGAGGTGTGACTTGAAAGATTAAAATAAAGAAAATTAGATTTATTAATGCAATTCTGATTTTATTTCATTTAATCACAAATAAAATATTGTAAATGCTCACATTGTTCTGCAAAAAATTACTGGCATTTTAAACTTTAAGGAAAAATCTTGTAAAATCAACAGTATAACTTGTTCATGTAAAGCTGGACAATTGGGAACCTTTTTTGCCAACTCTTAACAGTCAAATCCACACTTATGAGTTTCTCAGAATTCTGATTTCTGAATAATTATCTGTTTTCATGTGGGAATGGATTAAAACTTATATTGGGCTCCTGTGTGATTTTGGAATTCAATTCAAAAGCTTTGCTTTTCCTATTGCTATTCTTCTTTACTGATGAATAGCAATGAAACAACCCAGATAAAATACTTTTGTTTTTAAACACCTGAGGGTGAGCATTCAGTAAAAAATGCAAATACATGGTTAAAAATTATTGCGAAAACACAAAGAATCCTTTGCTTGCACGTATAGGACAGCCTAGATTTTTGAAGCAGTGAAAAATGAATAATAACCTCGTTTTATATGCTAGTAAATATGGTATTTATCCATGATAGCGTCAGCTTCCTTTATTTCAGATAATTGGTGTTCTACTGTAGTTTTAATTCTATCTTCAGATTTTATTATAAATAAAATATAAATTCTAATTGGAAGTCAGTATACTTATTATTTTAACAAAATATTTTTTACTAATAGTAGAATAAAAGAGAGAAAATATATTTAAACAAAGTAGAACAGTATAAATTTTGCCTTTCATTTAGAATCTCTAAGTTCTGAAGATTGATTTTTTTGGAATATTTTTAATTCTAACAATCATATAATCACAAACTTTACATCTATATTTTGGAATAATTTAAAAATTTTTGTATTTATTACATTTTTCAAGTTAAGGTATTTAATATTATAGAATCTACATATTGAAATCATGGATATTGTTAGTCTTTTTAATGTTGTCAGAATTAACATGCCACAATACATTAAGTTATAGTTGTTGTTATCTTTACATAAATAATGGAAATGTTGTCTTTTCATGCTCAATACATAACTGACAACACTCACTATGAGTTAATGTTATCAGTCAATCCAGTGCTTTAAAATTAAATATTAATTTAAACACTTTAATCATTATTTGCTTGCAATATAATAATTTAAATTGTAGGCATTTCTTGCTTCAATTAAACAAAATACTAGCTGCTGTTTAAGACAGTAATTTAAAAACTAGCTAACAAGCAATGTTGAATGAATTACTACTAATAAATAATAACAAGTATAATTAAGAAATCTTCAAATTATACATTTTATATTTGCTTTAACATGTCTGTTTAATATCATAGTTAATAAAAAATGGATGAGAATTTTAGATCATTAACATCTTTAGAAAATAAAATGAATTACATTAATAGATATTTTCAAATAAAAATTGATCAGTTTTTTATAATTTATCATATGTAACATAATAAGCTATGTAGTACTTAAATTTCGTCTGTTTGTTAGAATTCAAATAATGTGTATTTATTAAATAATAAGAACATGATTTTATGTATATGCATGCAATAAAGGTACTTTATTTAATACCATGTAAATGGCAACACCAATTACATGGTATATATCGACTTCTCTTAAGAGATCAGTCTACTAAATCAATATTTTTTTAGTCTTCTAAACCAGGGTTGTCCAACCTTTTTTCCTAATGGGTCAAATTAGAAATTTACATATATTCAGTGGACCACATAGGTACTTTACTTTTAAAGTACCTATGTGGTACTATTTTATTTTATAGGTACTTTTTAAAAGCATATATAAATATATGCTTTTAAAAAGTTCAAAATGTGAATATTAAATTTTAATAACAAATATATAATTACAAAAAATACTGTATTATTGACAATAAAGAAAAATTATACTCACACAAAATAAAAATAAATTCAATGCAATTTTTGACATTGCCTTCCTTTTATAATAATGTCAATATCTACTTTTATGGCACTAGTCTTAATTCTAAAAATGTTAGTGAAATGGGAATCACTTGACCTATGTCTTTCGGCAGTTTTGATGTTTCTCATGCATGAAACAAATTGTTCACAACCATATGTTATGCAAGTGGGGTAGTACAGGTTTCTAGTAGCAATTATGTCATTATGACATCAAAGTGTATCCAGTTTATGACATACAAGGTCTGTTCAAAAAGTATCGGACCTTTTTTTCCCGCGTAAACCAATGATGCGCGAGAAGCCTCCTTCGGTGGAGTTGTGGAGGGGACAGTCATGCAGAGCCCTGAATTTTTTCCCGCCTGCAGGAAGCATCAGTCGTTGGCAATCGGCCTATGAGTGAGGTCATGTAGTGCGCTCTCGTCAGATTCCACTAAGCTGGAAAATGACTGAACAACGTGAGCATCAATATTACATCAAATTTTGCCAAAAACCTTGGCAATACCCGAGTGTAAACCATTCGCAAGATTCAGCAGGCTTTCGGGGACAATCCTCGAGGCCAAAAAAAGCGCAGCAGGTCCGCAGCAATATCAAAGGTCATGTTGACAGTTTTTTTTTACTCTCGTGGGGTGGTGTGTCGTGAGTACGCACCACAAGGCCAAACCATCGCAAAGGAGTACTACCAGGAGGTCCTTCGTCGTCTTTCCGATACAGTGCGACGCAAATGACCAGATCTGTGGTCGATCAAAACTTGGCAGCTCCATCGTGATAACGCATCCGCCCATTCTGCGCATCTGATTCGGGCTTTCATTGCCAAACACAATACTCATGTGGTTCGTCACACTCCGTACTCTCTCCACATGGCTCCGTGTGACCTTTGGCTATTTCCCAAGCTGAAAATGCCGCTAAAAGGAATCTGAATTTAGTTGAGAAAAGACATCATGCGGAATCTGACGGACCGGCTGATGGCCATTCCAAAAGATGCGTTCCAGCAGTGTTTCCAGCAATGGCAGGAATGCTGGGAGAAGTGTATACACTACCAAGGAGGCTACTTTGAAGGGGATTAGGGTTTGTACCTCAAAGTCAATAAATTTATTTTTGCCGACCAAAGGTCCGATACTTTTTGAACAGACCTTGTACTTTACCAAAATAAATAAAAATGTACTTAAAAAATTTAGGGTGCAGTGGGCCGCTGGTTGTATATCCCTGTTCTAAACAATCAGTTATCAAGGTTTGACTGTATTTAAGTACTCTTATCAATATAAATGAGTCCCAAAATGATTACAGTAAGCTATTGTATTAGAATTATGTAACACACACAAAAGGGCTTTTATATAATAAATATTCTTTTGCCTGTGAGTTCCTATCTTAAATGAGAAATTTGCTAATTCTTTTACGTTACTTTTCTTGGAGATGGAAAGGATAAAAGAAAATAACAATAATATTATTTTGAGTAAATACTATATTAAAGCAAACATATTATTCATCTTAAATAATAATAATAAACCTTAATAAAAACATATAGATGGCACTACAAAATGCTTCAATATTGAATACATGTCCCATTGTTAGGAAGTTTCTAGATGTTGATACGTACATGCCTTGACTCTGGTCCGGCATAGTACACAGCCACCAGTGTGAACCGGGTATAACCCTCTAAACCCAACATAATAATAATAATAACAACAACAACAATAATAATCATTGTTATTACAGAACTATAATTTACCAGTGTAGGTCCATATGTCACTGGTGTTATGCCAACTCTCTCTTGGACTCATTTTGGAGGAACAGTAGATAGGAAGCTGTACTGATGTTCACATATGTTGTTAGTGGTGACTTTAGTATGAGATTTGTCTTTTTGTACTCTTGCTTGCTTGCTTGTTTCATCTTGAAGGGTACATCTCATAAATCCTTTCACAGAAGAACAGAAAGATTTTGCACATCAATATTCAGTTCTGTGATAGGGAAGTTGAAAATAGTGATTTTTATTATTTCTTCTGCTCATTTCACAAAGTATAAAAGTTAATTTCTGGAGTATCATTGTCAACAATAAAAAGATTTACCAAAAAACAGATAGTGAAGATGAGTGAGATTTTACTTTATGAATAAAGAGTTCAAAAAAAGGACATTTTACAAGACTTAAAAACATGACTATTAGTGATGCTATATTGTAATCAAAATTGGCAGAGTTAGGAAGCAAATTGGAAAAGAGTAGAGGAGAATGGAACCCCAATTACATCTAAGTGAATTTTAAACAAGGTATCATAACTACACCCACATTTTTTTGCAAAAAGTACTGATAACTATTAAACTAAATGTTCCTAATTGGATTTTTTGCTAGTGTAAGAATAAGTATGGTTTTTAAAGACTTCTGTACAAAAAGTCAGAAAAAATCAAGTGGTAATATGGAACCCTACTGTATATTTTCAAAAAATGCTTTAATGTAGCCAAAAACAAATAGGAAAGTACAAAAAAGTTAAATAATTACAAAATTATTTACTCCAATGTATTTTATTGCAAAAATGCTTCTATAATAGAAAAATATGACCTCCATCAACAATATATATTCCAGCATCTCTTTTTCGATATTCTCAGGAAGAATTGACTTTCTACCTAGTGTCTTTTTCACTAATTGCTCCGAACGAATGTCTGCTTTCAAAGAGAGAGTTTGGAGGAGTTGAGTTCCATATTACTGTAAAAGCACCAATGGGGTCCGTATTACATCGCCATCTTGAATTAACTTATGTCTGTCAAGACCAAAATTTAAAAATTGTGAACATCACACAAATTAATATGTACCCCTAAGTCTCTGGAATGGAATACATGCACCAGTGAACCTACAACTACACGATTTATATTTTAAAAATAATTAAATTCACTTAGCATTCAAAACTTGCGAATTGTGGAAAAAAAACAAATTTAATATAGGCTAGTATGCTATTTACGCCAAGTAATATTAATTGGTAATTAAAACTCACTGTGTTTAGCGTTACTAATCGTTTTTTCACTCGTTCAAGCGCTTTCGACGAATATATTTCCGTTGTCTTCAGGCGAATAAAATGTTTTAATCGAACATGACCGTTCGAGAAAAGAACACATAAATTTAAAATTAAATAATTTTTTGATATGAGTCCGCTACTATTTGAATTGTGTGCAACGTTTCGAATGCAAGAAGCGTAAAATGTACTCTGTGCACAGGATGGCTCTTCAGACCAGCACATTGAAATGGGGACAGAATACTACTTAATAGTAAGGACATCATTGAAGCACTCACCAGTGGTCCTCTACCTACTAACATGATGGTGTGAGAACCCAGACTTTATGAATGAAGGTTTAATCAACAAAGATAAAGGAAAATTAGTCAATACAGTATTAGTGGCAGTGATAATTGTCAACTTTTCTACCCAAGAGTGTCTCATCTTATGTGTTCTCAGCATTGACAGATATGCTTTCCCTTGATCTTCTCATATTGATCTTCATCATTTTAATATGATGAATAAAGACCAATTCAGGCAGTCATTGCAACTGTTTTGCTTCTCTCAAGCTTAGCAAACAATAAAATTTCCATTGTTTTTTAGATTATTTTTGTTCAGTTTTTATCACTTGGGATATATCTGTCTTGAATAAAGACAGTTCTACTTTTCTAGTTCCTGAAGTTATTTGTAAATTCCAATTCTAAGCTGATAATTTTACAAATTTTGTTTTAATATAACAATCTGTAGTAATTTGTTGGAAATGTTTACAAAGTAGAGAAATCATATTAAGGATTGCTACATTGTTGACATCAACATAATATTTGTATGTATTTATATTTAAAATCAACATAAATTTTATTATACATATAAACTAAGCCCTTTATAGTTTGTCTTTCTGGGACATCCATAATATGCCCACTGTGTGTATGTATATATATATATGTTCATGTATTCACTGCCTTCAATATCATCTCATAGTCAGGTCAGAACAGCCCAAATGGTATATAATGCTATTTTGGCTGTTTGGCAGAATGGGCATTCTGCTTTTCTCATCCTAAGAACACAGTCTTTCTCAAATGCCATCTACATGTAATATCTTTGACTGTATCATACAGACATGCTTGGTATAAAAAGACCTGTAAACAAGTACACTTAAAATTTTGAACAGCATGTGCCTCTGCAAGTTTTTTTAATCAGATCGTGGTGTAACAATTGTAAAGACTTTGGTGCATTACCTGACCATACAATTGTAATCATGTTTACATGGCTGTGAGTTTTGCAGTAATTTGGCAATTCTATCAGGTGTGTAACTATTTTATGAATGTATATTATAAATATACATTCATAAAATATATGAAATTAAATATCTTTTTCATTGATTTTATTTTTTAATTGTATTCAGTGCTATATTTCATAAAATATACATTATTACAAACTTCTTAATTATTAAATATCGTTTTTATTTTCCTTTAAGCAATTGTTAAAAAAAATTTTGATGTGAATTTTTCAGGGTAGTGAAACTTTAGATGATAAATCAAATTTGGATTTAAAAGTTGTAAGTTAAAATCTTTAAAATATAAAGTTTCTTAATATGAATCATAACGTTTTTTGTTACTATTTCCAGACTTTAGGTGTTCTTCATTCAAGTAGACCTGTTGTTAGTGCCAAAGCATTGGCATTAGGAGATAAAGCTTTTCGATGTACATATGAAGGTTGTGGTCGACTATATACTACCCAACATCATTTAAAGGTAATATTCAATAAGAACAACTACTGCATTAAAAAAAGTTTTTACAATACTGAATTCTTGAATATTTTTATGCACATATTGAAAGGAAATATTGTATGTGAGAAGATTATATGCATAGAATCAAATCCATAGTTAATATATTTACAAATAAAAAAAATAATCTTTTATTTTTTTTAAAAATACCTATGAGAAAAATTTATTTTTCAGTAACAAAATATGAATTACAATAATTTATTTTTACATATTTAAAACTATTTTAATATTAAAACCATTCTTAAATGCATTTCCAATTGCTTTCTAGTCTTTAAGGCTTATTATCAGGGGTGAAAAGTCCCAAAATTATCTTTGAACATCAAAAAATTTCAAATTGAGTTGATTTAAAACCCTAAAACATTAAAACAGATGGACAACATTGTCAAACATTGCTTCCTCTTGCAGATTTTTTCATCAACAAATCACTTTTCCTTTGGCAGTATGCTGATTGTCATATGTTCTAAACCTTATAATGGCTGTAATTAACTTTGTATTTTAAGAAGTCTAAATTATATAATAGTTAAAGTTAAAATTATTAAATTAATAATTAAGAAATGATTGTTAAAATATTCATATAGCATTTTATGAAACTGTAGGTTCATGAACGATCTCATACAGGAGACCGTCCATTTAAATGTGCTGCTCCTGGTTGTGGTAAGGCATTTGCAACTGGCTATGGACTGAAAAGTCACACTAGAGTTCATACAGGAGAAACTCCATATAAATGTCCGGAAGAACATTGTCATAAAGCTTTTAAAACTTCTGGTGATTTGCAAAAACATGTTAGGACTCATACAGGTACTAAAGTAAAGTTTGTAGATTGATTTTGACTTATTTATTATTATTTTTTATATATTGAATATGATCTGAAATATTTTTCAGTTTTGTGAGTGACATAAAAGGTTTAATTATAATGTAATAAGATTAGAAAAAAGTTATACAAAAAATTTATACTTATTTTTATAATATACAGGTAGCCCTCGGTTTACGCCGATTCACAATAACGCCGCTTCGCAATTTGCCGTTTCGCAGTGTAATTCCCCGATTTTCCGCATGCTAGACTCATTTTCATTTCAGTGTTGACGTATTTACCGAGCCGCGACATTGTACATTCGTTAAAACAAAGATTTTTATTCAATATATTTATTTTTTCTGTTTAATATTATTGGGTATTATACATTTGCATTAAATTAATATTAAAATACTAAATGTTTAGGTACCCATGAGTCAAGATATTAAACTTAAAAGTCCAATAAATGGCGTCCGAATCCATAGCGCCAATGAATATATCCCGTATCAGTTCATTCAAGAAAACACCTTACGACGCAATAGCACTTCTGGCGATTACAAACTATCGTTAGTGAGACAAATCTACATCTCGTTGGCCAGACGATATTTATCTCTCCTTGGCCACTATGAATTTTCCCACTCAAACTGACCTTATACCGATCGGTGGTTGACCAATCAGCGTCTTCACTCGTCCGTAGCTCTACGTCGAGTTAATGTATCCTTTCAACTAAGGAAAGTTTGACAGATGAACTTTGTGAATTAGACAATGATTGGAAGCGAAGTGCAAATGTAAAAAGGAGCATCATATTCGACCATATTCCGAAATTCTCAATGAAAGAAAACAAAAGTGTAAACAATTAAAGATGGATACTTTTTTCAAAAAGAGATCCGAAACTAAAATTTTTTAATAAAAACATTTCACTTTATTTTATGATAAAATACATTTTAAAAATTAAATTTATTTGTATTTTGTATTATATTGTATTAATAAACAAAATTATTTGCTGATTTTTCACTTATGTAGAACCTAACCCTATACCTCACTGTAAATATGGGTTCGTTTTACGCCGATT